TGACCCCTTGATTCTCTCCATATCTCTCAGTTCAGGTTCTGGGGTTGGGGTGCAGCTCTGGCTGGCCCAGCACATCCCTCTCTGGGTCCAGCTTTTCTGCCTCAGGCCATCTCAGAGGTCACTGCCCAGCCTTATGGCCTGGCTACTCTGGTCCTTTCTGGTAGGATGTGATGTGCCACAAATGTGAAGCATGAATTCTGTTGTGACTTCCTGAATGTTTATTATGCCATCTCATATCGATGGTGAACAACTAAGAAAGGTAAAGGAGCATGTCATTAAATTCTGACAGGCAAGTTTTTGATTATGTCTTTAGGTCCATCCTGCACTCCCAGAACTGAAGTTAATGCCATCATGTACCTTCCAAATGAAATCCAAACTCTTAATTCTGTGTCAGAGCTGGCCACTCAAGTCTTTCTAACCTGCCTTTCTCATCCTATCGGTTGCCTTCCTCTTCACATGACCCCATGTTGCAGATGTTTCCTTCCAAGCTTACTCTGACCTAGTCAGCTCCTCTTTTGCTCATGGGCTTTGAAGACCAGCTCAGGACCTGCATTAGTTTCCTAGGGCTGCCACAGCAAAGTACCACAGTACCACATCCTGGGTGGCTTCAAACAACAGAAATATATTCTCTCATAGTTCTGGAGGCCTGAAGTCTGTAGTCAAGGTGCTGGCAGGGCTGTGCTCCTTCCAAAGGGTCTAGGAAAGAATCTTTCCTTGCCTCTTCCCATTTCTGGTGGCTTCTGGAATTCCTTGGCTTATGGCCTCATGGCTCCAATGTCTGTCTCTATCTTCATGTGGCTTCCCTCTCTCCCCGCCGTGTGTTTCTATCCTTTCCTTTCCCTTCTAAGGACCCCTGTTATTGTATCAGGTTAACCAGGATGTAACTTAGGATGATATCATCTTGAGATCTTTAATTATATCTGTAAAGACCCTTTGGCCAAAGAGGTCACATTCATAGGTTCTAGGAATTAGGAGGTGGATATATCTTATGGGAGGAGCACCATCTAATCCACTATAATCTCTAGTTCCTTTGTGAAGACTGCTTCCTGGTCAAAAATGACCTCTCTCCCCTCTGGGCTCCCTTGCCCTTTATTCAAGTCTTTTAAGGCACTTTTAAATTTTTTTATTTTTATTATTTTTTAAAGATTTTATTTATTTCAGAGAGAGAGCACACAGGGTGGTGGGTAGAGGAAGAGACAAGCAGGGAGCCCGATATAAGGCTTGATCCCAGGACCCTGAGATCATGACCTGACTCAAAGGCAGGCACTTGACTAAGCCACCCAGCTGCCCTATACCAAATTTTTTTTTTAATTTTTTAAAAAGATTTTATTATTGATTGATTGCAGAGGAAGGGGCAGAGGGAAAGGGAGAGAGAATCTCAAGCAGACTCCACACTGAACACAGAGCCCAATACAGGGCTTCGTCTCACAACCCTGAGATCATGACCTGAGCCAAAACCAAGAGTTGGATGTTTAACTGACTGAGCCACCCAGGTGTCCCAAAGCACTTTTGATGTTCTCTTGTGCAGTGTAGACATATTGGTACTAGTGGTAAGAGTGTGGGTTGCAGAATTAGACGTCCTGGGTTCAAATACCAGGTCTTGGCACTTGCCAGCTGAATGACACTGACCAAACCACTTCTTGCTAGGGACAGGCTGTAATGGGGGTGCTTAGGGCACATTTAAGAAGATATTCACTCTCAGGGCCCAGCAGGTGCAGGGTCAGCTTTCTCACTACCTTGAGAGTGAGATTTTCATGAACTTCCTTAAATTTCATGCCCCAACTGCCTCTCTTGCCTTACCATAGTCCCTGCCCTACCTATTGCCCTGTTTTTTAATCTGTCAAGTAGGGAAAATTACCTCCCTGGTAGAGAAATTATAAGGACTAGGGTTGCCTGGGTGGCTCAGTTAAGCATCTGCCTTTGGCTCAGGTCATGATCTCGGGGTCCTGGGATAGATCCCCACATGGGGCTCCCTGCTCAGCGGGGAGTCTGCTTTTCCCTCTCCCTCTGCCTTCTGCCCCTAACTTGTGCTCTTGCTCCCCTACTCTGTGTGTCTGTCTGTCTGTCTGTCTCTTTCTCAAATAAATCAATACGTCTTTTAAGAAAAGCCCCTACTTTATTTTTTTAAAAAAAGAAAGAAATTGTAAGGACTAAATAACACAAGTAAAAGCACAGTGCCTGGCACATTGGAAGGGCTCAAGAAATGAAAGCTGTTGTTTCTCCCACCAGAGAGTAAGTTCCTGAAGAACTGGCCTTCATGTCTAATTCATTTTTATAGTTCTAATAACTTGAAACACATTACACTGAAAATAGTATGTGATTAATTATGTTCAAGTGAATTAATATTTGCCAAGTTTAAGCCATGTGGTGTTCGGGTCTATAATCAGGAAAACAGCTCAAACTTTGAGTCCTTGGATCAAGAATTCTTGAGCTCGTTCATTTCCTTGTTCGCGTTTAGCATTGAGAAGGTTTAGGTGAGGAGCTTTGGATGGAAGTAGAGTCCAAACCTTAGAAAATTGCTGAGGTTGGTTTTCAAATTAGAACCATGAAGGAAAAGGCTCCAAAAGCAGGATGCGTGCACACTGGAAGGATTAGCTTGCGTCTGGGTAGCAGCAGCTCAAATGTGCAAAGTGGCTTTGGTTCATGCGTGCTGGTCACATCAGGATGGATGGGCTCCTTCTCCATTATGCACTCGCCAGTCCCCTGGGAAGATTTTTTCCTGGAACATGGAGACTATCTTGCATCTTGCCTGGAACTCCGTGAAACCGTTGGCAACATTGGGCTCAGCTGGGTGCATCCCGAAACACATTTATTTGATATCAGAGTTGATATTCCTCTTTTACATTGTGGTTGGGACTCATTAACTCTCAGTAAGGACCGACATTGAAGAGGAGTTTCCTCCCTCTCTCGCAAAAAATGTTTCCTTGGACAGGACATAACTCCTGTAACTGATTTGCTCTCCTGGCACAGGGCAGCATGTTGTGTGGTACCCCGAGGCTGGTAAGAAAGGGGACGACTCAAGAATTCCTGGGTGGGAAGGCTTTTCCCTGTGCTTACCACAATTGCTGAAACATGAGGTTTAATAGCCCAAGACTGGTCTATATTTGCATGGAAACTGTGTTTGTGTGGAATTTTATTTTTTTATTCCAAGATGGCCATAATAAGACCCAGACTGTTGAGGAGTCTAATGATTAGAAGCAGCTCCAAAATGTCCCACACAACCATGTTAGGTTCCATTGCAAGATCTTGTTCTCAAAGTTCAAAATGCGTGGTGTTCAGCTAGCCACCTCACTAAAGCACGTCTATCCACCTAGGGCCAGACACGTGCATTACGTTTGCCCTTGCCTGGTGCAAGGACTGCCTCCATAACCGGCCGTGGAATTTAAGTAAGGCAGTCTGGAGGGGTGTTGGGAAGGCTCATTTTAGTAACTACTATATTTATGTCCATAATATCACTATTAAATTGGCAAATATGAAGCAGCCTTTAGTGTGGCCCAGCATATATAGTCACCATTCCTGGATGAGCTGTGTGCTTGGAAACAAGGAGTGTAAAGAGGGTTCTTGGCTTCCAGGGATTTGACTCAATGTTTCAATCCATTTGAGTCATGTCCACGATTACACCTGCTTCTTTTGGAGCCAAACCTGCACATTATCACCATTACTCTTCAATAGCACTGAAATTGCGATAATCTATTAAATCTGTCTTTTCCCGTTCTTTCACTGACACAAAACAGAATTTCCAGGAGCTTGTGGGGGTGGAATGGGGGTGTTAAAAAAATACATTCTGAGTCACTGCTTGAGGAGCTTTTATTGTATTTTTCCCTCAAGTGTTTCTGGTAGTGAAAGTATTATGGGTATAGAACAAGCAAACACTTAAACCGGAAACAATCAGATGGAAAGTCCTCTGCTTTAATGAGAGGTAACTGGTACTCATCTCTGAAGCTATTATCAACTGGGAGTGTGGGATTGGAGTGGCTCTTCCACTAATATAGGTAGTGGTGCTCACAAAAGAACCACTGCTTTCAAGAGAAATGTGGGCACCAGCAACTTGGTGAAACTTGGGCATCATTGCTTCCATCTGCATCTTAGGTAAGCAACCAGAGCCTCATGTAAATATCAAGACATGGCTTCACTATGCCATAGTATCCCAGTTTGTTATGAGTCATGTAGTGTCACCATCTCAACTCCAGAATGCCCAAGGAGCAAGAAAGAAATTGTGTGGCAGGGGCAAAAGGAATCTAGATCAGAGACTGGCACACTACAGTCCTAGGGCTGACCACCTGTTTTTTGTAAACAAAATTTTACTGGCATACAGCCATGTTCATTCATTTATATATCGAGTATGTTTGCTTTCAGGCTAGAATGACAGAGTTGAGTAGTTGTGACAGGCAACGTTGGCCCACAAACCCAGAAATATTTACTCTCTGTGTCTTTACTGGAAAATTTTGCAGACCCCTTGTCTAGACAAATAGTCAAATGAGTCAAGTTATTGGCTAAAGATCCTCAATTCGCAATGCCAAGAGAAGGACTGGGTTGGCTTTGATTGTTGTCATGCACTTTGTAATTTACAAAATCTTATGAGCCAGTACAACTAAAACTCCTATTCACTCCTATTCTCCTTTTGAAGAAGCAATATGGAAAGTAAAATTAGGTCTTGATATATTTTGTATGTTGCCTGGACTTCTAAAGCATTGCTGGATTGCTGAAATGTGCGTAAGTCAATGTCATTTCTCAAAACTTTTAGAAGATGCAAATGTTGGCAACTACTAAAGTATTGGCATTATGCTTGTGTCTGTACAAAGTTCTACAATGCTCAAAACCACGTTTTGTAGCTATAAATGTAGCCCTACTTCAAGTGAAACTCTTTAGTCTAAATATTTTCCCAATCTTTGAAACCAGTTTTAAGAGTCATCAGAAATCTTTAGTTTAAGACACCAGACACATTTCTTAGTTGAGCCTTCCAGTGCCAACATGTTGGACCAATTCAGTAAAACATGCCATAAATTATATGACTGCTTTATTTGAATTACGGGATACTTTCCACAATAGCAGGAATTCTTACCAGGAGTTCAAACATGAGTTCTAGGTTATTATTCAGACAATGGTGATGGATTCAAATCTTGCCTTTGTAACCAGGTTTGGTCAGGGGTATAGTTTATGACAAAGAACAAAGCTAGAAGACCCCAAGTAGTTAAGGGGTTTGCAGTTTCAATAGCTCTGAGTCACACAACCTTCACAAGTTGGAGGACAATTGGCTGGAACAACTTTGGACTAGTATGTTAGAAGTGATTTGAAGGTTTTGAAATGTCATTAAAGATAGGGCTTATTACTTGATGTTGGTTACAATGAAGGCTAGCTCTTTTCATGTCATTTAAATATATTAGTAAATCATAAATAACATATATGATTATGGACTCTATCTGCAAATGAATCTTAGTAAATATGTGACTAGTCACGGCAGAAAAGCCATTCAGGGTACAGGAGCACACAGCCGTTATCTCTAGACTCAGGTTGCGCCACCTGGCTACATCTACAGATTTAAATGGCTAAAATCCAGTTCTCTACTCATAGCTGTACTTTTGCCTAGAAGAGTTTATAAAGCTTGGGATAATAAATTGGGGGAAGAAATGGTGTCCTAGTGAAAATAACACTAAGAATTTAAATACAATTTTTGAGACTTGTGTCGAGTTAAAACATAATAAACCCACTAGGTAAGTCATAAGAACTACACATATATAAGCACAGGATATGAAGTTTTCAGTTTCAATTCAAGTATAATAGGATCATATAGCTGAAGAAAATGTTCATCATTCTATATTTTTTGAAAAATTGGTCTTAATTCTTAAATTGCTCCTTTCTTAATCTGAAAAAGTTCACTAGCCAAGGTATACATCATCACAGAATGCCACTTACAAAACTCTAATTTTAAAGATACCCTTAATTTTCAAAGGACAGTTACAATAGGGCTCACTTTCAGAAAAGATGATTCACCGTTCTAACTTAGGAATAGAAAGGTGAGATCCTTATGGGGGAGGCTCATAAAAGATGTTGTAGGAGAAACAAATGTTCTCAAACCTTTGGTACAGGAGTGAGGTTGTGGGATGAACATGTCTCTTTTAAAGTAAGGCAGCTGATGCTATAAGTCATGTGGGAAAGGCAGCCTATGTGTTCTGGAGCCAATATCATGAATGTACATTTTTGTGTGACAGTCCTGCTTGGGAAGCCAGGGTCTAATTAAAATCTAGCCGGTTAGATGTTCACAAAGGGGGAAGTCCAGGGTGTGGGGAACACTTCAAATTACATTCCATGAAGACATTAGACTGTCAGAGCTTAGGAAGGCCTGGTTGTCTGTAAAAAAGGAGGTGGGATAAAGGGCTGTGTAATGCTAGCACATGTCAGCACAAAATAGCTGTGGACACAAATGGAACATATGCAGTTTTTTTAAAGGTGGTATCGAATAGCAGGCCAGCAGCCATCCCTCTCGGCATTTTAGACCTCTTTCTTCTCTCCACTTTGGCTCTTTGTTGAGACACTTCCATCAGGCAAAGTTCCATAGGATAAGCCATTTGAATCTGGTTGTATTTTGTCCAACATTTGTTTCCCTGTGGAGATAACAATCACAAAAAATCCTTTGCTCTCTTAAAAAAAGAATAAGTCTTAATAATAATTTCTCCTCTCTCTAGGCCACATTTCATTCCCTTTTTAAAATATGATGTAGTCTGGGCAGCCCGGGTGGCTCAGCGGTTTAGCGCCGCCTTCAGCCCAGGGCCTGATCCTGGAGACCCGGGATCGAGTCCCTCGTCAGGCTTTCTGCATGGAGCCTGCTTCTCCCTCTGCCTGTCTCTCTCTCTCTCTCTCATGAATAAATAAATAAAATCTTTTTAAAAAATACGATGTAGTCACTCTCTCAACAGAAGAAGAGATAAACATCAGGAAGAAAAGGCCCCAGAACTCCATGTCCCTTGATGGGGACAATGGACTGTCCCTGGAGAGAGTGGTCTCCCCACCACCCAGGGCCTACTGTGCTGGGCATGGAAATTGGGTTGGATCAGCAGAGAGGTGAACATGCAGCATCCATTCATCTCACACCCTCCTTCCTGGGGTCCTTTCTCCTTTTCCATGTTTGGTCTAATGCATGTAACAACAAAGAAAAGCAGACTCCCACAGCAGCTTCTAAAAGCTGTTGCTGATCTTCTGGATGGGGCTTTGTGAAATGAAAAATTGCATTAAAAATATGTAAACACTATTTTACCATCCAAGTCATTTACAATGCACATCTTTGCCACAAACACCAATTCTTGCTCTTAGCTGATAAGAGGGCTCAAGAAGGAAAGAGAACACAGAATTCCTTGGGTCCTATTTTCTCAGGTAGAGCATCAAGGCTTTAATGGTTTTTGCTTCAAAGGCTTGGACCTGACAGAATGGTAGAGGAAGCTGTCAGAATGTCATTACTTCTGTCTAGAAACCTGCAGGTCACCCCAAATCCCTAGCAAAGCCAGAGATATTGGGTGGGCAAGGGAAGAGGTGAGGACACAGCCAGCTGTTTGCTATGCTCTAAACATTGCTTCTGTTGTCTGCGTGACTACAGTGAGAGTGGAGGACTGCCTACACGCACATGCTCGATGGTCAGGATGAAGAAGGCAATGGGGGTGGGGGGAGAAGCTACCCATGTTCCTATATTCCGGTGACTGTGAAGAACACCCCTTCTGTCCCCACTGTACACAGGCCACTGCAGTCTTCCCCAGGGACTATTTTCTTTAGCAGCCTAATGCCCTGTCCTTAGAAGTTCCTTCAAAGGCTCTCCAGGCAGCAGGGGACCCCTGCTGCTGGTAGTCATTCCCCACTCTTATCCTCCTTTTTCAGTTTAAGGAACCCCCCAAAAAGACATTTGCAACACCAAATCAAGAAAATGGGGCCAGTGTTCTGTGTAAAACTGACATTCAAAGGATCCCTGGGTGGCGCAGTGGTTTGGCGCCTGCCTTTGGCCCAGGGCGCGATCCTGGAGACCTGGGATCGAATCCCACGTCGGGCTCCCGGTGCATGGAGCCTGCTTCTCCCTCTGCCTGTGTCTCTGCCTCTCTCTCTCTCTCTCTCTCTCTCTCTCTCTCTCTCTCTCTGTGACTATCATAAATAAAAAAAAAATTTAAAAAAAACTGACATTCAAATAAATGATTATTAACACTGACAGTTAAAACATTGCCTCTGGTTTCATTGTTAAATAAACACTTTTCTGAGGATAAGAATTATGTTTTATATTGATTTTAACACCCCAAATAACACCAGCAACTATTAATTTATAAGGATAAAGTTTTCCATTGTAAGTTAAAGAATATACAGTTTTACCAGGAATATTTCCAAAATCAATGTAGGACTGTGGCAGATGTTCCTTTTCTCGACTTCTTGTGACCAAAAACACACCAAGGAACGACAGAAAACACCTGTAAGAATAATATTAATAAAGAACACAAGAACACTGAAACAACCTATGGTGTTAAATAACTGAGCCCCATATTCTACATGATGACATAAATTGCACTGGGTTTGTTTTTCCTGTTTCTCAGGGTAAGCCTTCTAGAATTTGTCTTAATTGCTACAGCCAATTATATTTTTTCCCAGAACCAAGACCTGGGCAGCTTCCAATAAATCTCTGCCCCAGGTTTTTACCATCTGGAGGCTAATTCAGGCTCTAAACCCTCTGGGTAGACACTAGGTCTCATTTTCTATCCATGCATGCCCAGACCTGGCATGCAACATGAGCAAAAAATATATATATTCTTTAATTTTCTAAGAAATTTAATTGTCCTTGGCCATAAGAATAGTCATAGTTTCCTAGAAGTTTAGGCTTACCCAAGTATCTAATGAAATTGAATTTTCAAGCTTAGATGGTTTTCTATGCTGAAAATAGTCTGGGCTCAAGTCTGCATTAATAATGGTCATGCAGAACACCAGATCAAGAAACAGCTAAGCATTAATGGAGTGCCAGCTGTAACCAACAGAAGATCTTACACACTGGTCATATTTTGTCAAAGTTCTGCTCTCCGTTTGCAGGCATGTCAGCAATGATGCTGACCAAATTTCCAGGAAGGGCTAAAAAGGGCCCAGACACAAGAAAGGGATACCACCAATCTGACGTTATTGGTCCAAAGCTAATAACCTGCCCCAGACTTAACCTTTTACTCTAGGTGATTCCAGAGGCATATGTGGTTCCTGAGTGAGTTCTAACCTAGAAATTTCCAAGAGCAAGGTAGGTCTGATTTAGTACAGAAAAGTCAATAGAGTAGCTACAATAGCCTGTGGATTTATCTAGACCTTGGCTGGAACTGGAAATCCCCAGGTTCTGAATCCTCAGAGGGAGACCCAAGTTACCAAGTCAAAGAAACGGAGTTCTGTATAGGGTGTTAAATTGAAAACTATGTTTCTTTTAAGAGCTCAGGAAACTAATGTTTCTTATGTTCTCTTCCAATTTTATATACCTCAGTACAATGCCAAAAATCCCACATAAAAGTAATAGGATTTCACATTCCTTACTTATGAGACATCTACTCACCCAAAAAAATATATAAATACAGTTACAAAAGCTGCACCAAGGAACTCCTGATAAAATATGATACCTGTAGCAGGAATAAAAGACAAACTTAATTTTTGGGTAAGAAAAAAATATATGTTATATATTTATATATTTGGAATATAATATATATATTAGTTACACATTGTTTTTCAAATTGTGTTAATGTATTATTTTTTTCTAAGTACAGTTATCCTTAAAATATAAATTCTGTAGCTTAGTTTTAAAATATTTGCATGCCACACTTAAAATCTTCAGTGATTTCAAAAAGAACAGAGATTCATAGACTTTATATCATGTATTATTATTACTATAAAATCAACACAATTGACATAACTTTTGTAAGTACATATTTCTCTCTCTTTTTTTTAAGATTTTATTTATTAATGAGAGACATGGAGAGAGAGGCAGAGACACAGGCAGAGGGAGAAGCAGGCTCCATGCAGGGAGCCTGATGTGGGACTCGATCCTGGGACTCCAGGATCACACCCTAGGCTGAAGGCGGTGCTAAACTGCTGAGCCACTAGGGCTGCCCTGTAAGAAGTAGACATTTCTTACCCAGTCTAAGATTTGTCCCACTGGAACATGCAAGAAAACAAAACTCTAGTGACATTTCTCACCTACCCTTTTAGGCCAGGGATCAGCAAGCCTGACCTGAGAGAGTCTGAGTAGACTCAGGCCTCTGACACATCATTCCCTTTAGGGCAGCACTAGCCGCTCATGCTGGCAGTCTTAGCAATGCCATGTGTATGCTCAGGAACCGCAAGGAACAGCAGCAACTGCCATTCTACCCAGCTCCATCTCTTACTGCCAACACTCTCTCTCCCTTCTCCTTCTTTGGGTCTTCCTTTTTGGGTGAAGGAAAACTTGGATGTGTTGTTTAATAAACTTTTCTCCTCTTCTTGCTGGTCTTGATGATTTCTTCTTGGTCTAAGGTCCCGAAGCCTTCAGAGAGTTGTTGTTTTCTTTTAAAGGGTTTCTTTAAATAATGTATTATTTGGAATTGAATTTGTGTGTGTGTGTGTGTGTGTGTGTGTGTGTGTATTAGCCTTCCTAGTCATCCGACAAATATTTATGGAGTCCTACGTGCCAGCCACTGTGCTAGGTGCTGCAGATACCACGATGGACAAGACAGAGTCCTCTACCTGAGGAGTGCTCTCAGAAGCCCATATCCTCACCTAGAGAATAAGCTTTGTCCAGGAAGAAGCCCAAGTCCAGTTCTAATAAGTATCTGTCAAGGGGATGAACATTTTGAAAGCATTATTCCACATTACTGCACACTTCCTTGTAGTCATTTTAATGTTTTCGTGTTATTCTAAGCAGATGCACCATAATATTCATTTCTCTAAGGGCATTTTAAGCGGTTTTGAAATTTTTTTTGCTTTAGTCAAGTAGCAATAAACTTCTTTGTGCATATTTCTTTTTTTTTCTCAGCATCTTAGGACTTTTCTAGTTACTGCTGTTTAAAGCAGAATTATTTTTAAAGAGTAGAAGCATCTTTAAAAAATTTTTTTAGTAAAATACAAATAACATAAAGCTTACCATTATAACCATTTTTAAGTTTGCAGTTGTGTTAAGTATATTCACACTGTTGAACAACTAATCTCCAGACCTTTCTCACCTTGCCAAACTGGAAGTCCATACTTATTAAAGGACAACTCTTCATTTTCCCCTCCTCCAGCCTCTGACAATCATCACTCTACTTTCTACTTCCCATTCCTGTAAGTCAGACTACTCCAAATACCCCATATAGGTGCAATCATACAGCACTGGTCTTCTTATTTCACTCAGCATAACGTCCTCAAGGTTCATCCATGTTGTAGCATGGGTCAGAATTTCCTTCCTGTTTAAGGTTTAATAAAATTTGATTGTATGACATACCACTTGTTCTTTTTCCATTCATCTACCAATGGACATGTGAGTTGCTTCCACCTTTTGGCTACTGTAAATAATGCTTCTATCACCCAGGCATACAGGTATGTTTGAGTACTTGCTTTCAATTCTTTTGGGTATGTACCCAGAAGTGGAATTGCTGAACTGTGTGGTAATTCTATGCTTAATGTTTGGAGGAACTGCCATAGTGTTTTCTATAGTGGCTACTTCATTTGACATTCCCACCAACAGTGCACAGAATTTAATTTTTTCCAGATCCTCAGCAATACTTGTTAATTTTTTTCTATCTGCCATCCTAATGGGTACAGGTGGTATCTCCTTGTGATTTTGACTTAGATTTCTCTAATGATTAGTGATGTTGAGCATCTTCTCACGTGCTTACTGGTCATTTGTACATCTTCTTTGGAGAAATGTCTATTCAAGTCCTTTGCCCATCTTTAGATTGGGTTATTGTTATTGTGGTTATTGTTGCACTGTAGGATCAAAGACTAAAAAATATTTTTAAGGTTCTAGATAAAGGCTATGAAACTGAGTTCTAGGAGGGCAGTATCATACCACCCAACTCCACGACAGCACCTATGATACTGTAGCCTTGCTGGCATCAATTATTGCAATAAAAAGTATGAAACAGAAACTTTACCAATTTATAGGCAAAATATGGTATGGAATTTTAGTTTTAAGCTAGACTTTTTGAAGGGGGCAAAAAGGTAAAGTTAGTCAAGAAGCTTCACCTCCATTCCATACTTCAACAACAGCAGATGAATGATCACTCCCAGAAAGCTCCAGCCTCCCTGACTCATCAATTACTTGGTGTGTTGAGTACTGAGATTCCAGCCCTGTTGGTCCTCCTACAAAAGATTCTTTTCAAGGGAACTATATTTTTTTACACATCTTTACAACATTAATATTAGCTATTAGGGGACATGTCATGCCTGTAACTCTTTTTGGCCCTATTAATTTTTTTCTAATAACTCTAGGGCACACAAATATGAAATCTTTTCTTACTTTCTTTTGTCAACAAGCATAAAATGCTTTAAAAAAATCAGATGTCTTCGTATATGATCTTTCTCTTTAAAAGTAAGGTTCAATTTGGGGAAATAAAAAAATGCATCAATTACTCTTAAAAACTGCCCACTAGCAGTCACATTGTTCGCCATGAAATAAGAAAGATGTGCCAATTAGGTAACATATTCCTTAATTACTCCCAAAATGCATAAACTTTGCTTTGGCAAATGAACTTCCAATATGAGATGGTAGTAAATATATCCAATAAGCCAATAAACAAGGGCACACAAGGAGTAACCTTAGGAGTGAGAGACCGGAATCTACCATATTTTGGTCTGTACCAATTTTCAAATTTACACTTTTTTAAGAACACTACTGTGAAAAAAAAAAAAAGAACACTACTGTGTCATATATATATATATATATATATATATATATATATATATATATATATATATACATACACGCACACACACACACACACATATTTGGAAATACCAAAGAACTAGAATAGTAAAAAATAGAGGCCAGAGCATCAAAGATAGTAGTTTGTATTCTCATCTGCCTGGCCTTCCATGGAGCACTGGATTCAGTGTTGGGCCCCACTCTGATGAAGGCAGTGAGGGACAGGGAAGAAGAGTTAGGACCCTTCCACTGCTTTGATTATCAGAAGGGCTGGCAAGGAGAAGACTCCAGAAAGCAGAGCTAAGATGAGAGTCTTGAATTCACAGTCTCATTTAACCTAAAGATTCCTTGTCTCATTTACTCTGAAAGAAATTTGATTTTATGCCTGGTGTAGGGGTAGAATCACCTAGGTGTAGAAAGCCGAAGCTCACCTGCTATAATGGCACTGGTCGTAAAGAAGACGTGGTTGACCGGCACCACCATTGTTGTGTTGTAGAGTTTTGTAGCTTGATTCAGGAACCTAGAGCAGAAGGCACTTACTGGGGCTTGGGCTTTAAGAGACGCTCAGCAACATGTTAACAGTAACATCAAGAAACTTAAGCTACAACTACAAAGGAAAAGGAAGTGCAGTAAAAGGGCATTTCCAATCAGCAGTCATAGCTCATAGCTTATATGCATCTGATGTATGAGATCAGATGTCAGGTTTTATGGTCTGTTTAAACCAACAACAGTAACAATGAAAAGTAATTAATCATATTCTGAGGCCACAGAAGTTTGAGTTGGAAGCGATTCAAGCTGCTGGACTAGTATCACACTGGAGCTGATTCATTAGGATAGACCCTAGAATCTGTTAAGTATCATATCTGGGGAATAGTATAGCTATCCATTGACATGCCACGTGCCAAGAAAGAAGATGGAGAAGTAAAGGAATGTTTAATATTTCAAAAACAATGCTCAGGACTCCAGCTGCAGAGCACATGTGGGAGCTCAGCTTCTCACTTTGGCCACCAACATGATTCAGTTTCCCACAATGAAGCTGTGCTGCCCTGTCACTGACATCAACTGGACAATTTTAAAAAGCACTAATGCTTAGGTCCTGTCCTGGCACAACTTAAAAAAAAAAAAAGTTTTGTGGGTAGGCCCAAGTGTGCCTGAGCTTGTGTGCACATGCGTGCCTGTGTGCACACACTTATGTATGAATACATACATGCATGTAGATGTGTGTGAGCATGTGTGTATATATATACATACACACATATCTATATATATACAGATACATGTATATATACATATACAGATATATACAGGAGAACAAACACATCTCCTTGGGTGTTATTTCACTGGGTGGCCAGTCCTACAGTTCCAGTGTGTTCAAGGTAGCTCCAGTGTGGCAGAGGCAGAGCCAGAACAAGGGTGATGGGAATCCGGTATACCTTCAGTTGTACCTGCCTCTTAAATTCATAAAGCTGAGTTGAAAGATAACAATCACTAAACTCCAAAAGATATTCTAGCAGTGCTGATTATCTCAGAAGAAGAAAGGGAGATGAAACAAAGTAGCGAGGGTCAAGCATTAGAAACACACTCATTCTCATAAGGAAATGACAGATGAAACGGAGACAAACCATTGGGTTTCTCCAGTCATTGTCCACATTTCCTTGCAACAGGGCCTGTGTCCAACCCATAACGATTAGACTTGACTGCTAGCTGCCATGGAGAGCACCACTCTCTTCCTGATGATAGGCTCTGATCTCCCAGCTGGCACCGGAATGGTGCTTTTGCATAGATTTTGGGGTAAACAGAAAACTTCCTGGCTGACCAAAGATAGTCTTGCAGGGAAAGGCATGATCATGATGTGAAATGGAGGGGAAGTGAGTGGGGCAGATGGAGGTGGTGGGGGTGGGGGAAGAACAGAAATTTAAAATGTTCCATGTCACCACAATTAGACCCCAAGAGAAACATAAAACAATCACTCTATGATCCCAGGGGTACAAAGGAAATTCTGGCCAAGGATGCAAAGTTCTGGGTAAAGGATTTCCCTCCCAGCCAAACGTCTGGTTTTGTCCATCCCTGTGCAATTAATGAGCATGAGCTAAGGATGAAGGTGAGGGGTTCAGGTATTTCCTATATTTAGAATGACATCCTGGATGTGGACCTGCCCCTTTGATTTATTGCTAATGACAACCTGCGTATGATGGATATTAATTACAAGCAGAAGAGCATCAGGAAAGTATCAAAGTGCACTTAGCTAGATTACGGCCATACTATAGAATTCACAAGATATGAAGGCAATGCTTAGTGCAAGCTTATTATTGGACACGAAGGATAAAGCAAGGCATGCTGGTTGAGGACAAGCTATAGACTCTTCACCCTTAGAAATCAGTTGCATCAGTTACACCTAATTGTAATGATCAACGGACGCCCATAAAGATGAATGCGCAGAGAAGCACAGGGATGTTGAAAGATTAGTAAGTATGTAGAAGCTAACTTACTTGACTTGGAAAACACAAGATGCTATCATAATGATACACATGATATAGAAGATGGGATAAGTTAGCTGCATTTGATCCATCACAGAAAAAGTGATCATGCCTGAGACTGCTTTTACTGAAATTACAGTCAATGAGGCTGAAAAAGAAAACAAGAAACACAAATAAAATACATACTTGAGACAAAATTATAAATAAATATTTTAAGTTTACACAGGAGAGTAGTCGATACCCCAGTCATGCTCTCAGAATGTAGGCTCAGGGGAGGTGGCATTAGGACGTGGCACCAGATATGCAGTAGCGCTGCTGCTCAAAGCTGCGCTGGATTTTGAATTTGCTTAAATCAGCTCAAGATTGGCTGTGAAACTGGGTGCTTTTAATCTTTGCAGCAAGCAAAGCTTAAAAGCTTATTTTTCCAGCCCTAACTGTTGAAAGGATGCCACAGAGGTTATAATCATTAGGAGATGGGAGAGTAGAAAACTGAAGCAGAGAGAGAAGAAAAGCCAGATAATCCATGTGACATGAATGGGAAAATAACTATTAAACTAGACTGAAAAAGTTTAAAACCAAATAGATGAGAAAACTGGAGTGGGTAAAGCAATTCACTCTGTGAGTTTACTAAGAGTTGTACTGAGTCTACATATGAGCCTTTTTGTCCATAAATGTCTAGAAGTTTCATGAAAAATATTTTTTGACAAAGACAGTAATTGGAAGCAGGACCAGATCTGAGTATTCATTTCTCAGAGTCAACCATAAATCTAAGATGTACATAAGCAGTGTCTATTCTCTATGCTAAAGAGGAACCTGTTCTTAGGAGAACAAATTTTTCATAGGTTACAAATAGCAATGAAGTGACTTGATAAGGTTATAACAGGAAAGCAATGAAGCATTTTCTAGAAACACTGTGTCTCTGTAGGAAGAAAATAGTTTTCTTTTTGTTTTAGGTTGTTTAATGTTGCATATAATTCCAAAACTTAGCTAAAACTTACAGATAGTGAAAAAATAATTTTTACATGAAGTCAAATAACTGTAAGTCAAAGGCAATGTGAAGGAGAAAAATTATCTTTGGTGCTGTTGATCTACCTGGTCATAATATATCTGGCTTTTATTCCTTTTTGACAAAGTATATAGATATATATGTGTGTGTGTATATATATATATATACACACACACATATATGTATCTATATACTTATATATGTATATATATATATATATATATATAATAAAGATATATATAAAGAATAAGTTTAAAATAGCAGCTGATGGCCAATCAGGGAAAGCCTCCCATAATCTCCTTTTCCAAAAAACTGAAAATATATTTTAATTTGAAGAGTACCAGGGTACACTGCCAAATTAGGCATCTTCTTTTCATAATTAACAGAGGAGAATAGGTGATAAATTTTAAAAACAAACCCCCAATCTGAACAAGAGGTCCTTACAACCAGGCCTCTCTTCATCTTAAAATGCCTTTTGGGGACGCCTGGGTGGCTCAGCAGTTGAGCGTCTGCCTTTGGCCCAGGGCATGATCCCGGGGTTCTGGGATCGAGTCCTGCATCAGGCTCCCTGTGTGGAGCCTGCTTCTCTTCCCTCTGCCTGTGTCTCTGCTTTCTCTCTGTGTCTCTCATAAATGAATAAATAAAATCTTTTAAAAAAATGTCTTTGACCTGATCATTTTACATGTTTTCTACAGATTATGACAATAGTCATACCTTAGCTAATCTAGGAATTTTAAATATCTGCAGTGATGTATGTCACTGAATGGTTTAAGTTTATAAGGTTAGCTCTTGAGGGACCTTGGTTTCCTCCTCAAAATTTTGCTTGAAATTAGAACACAATGTGATTATGGTCTTGGGGTCAGAACAGCCAGGTTTTCCAAAGGATCATTAATGGGAAAGAGCTGAACACTGTTCCATTAGCCTCACAACCTCCGGATTGCAAAGGTTCTTCAAGGTTCATCTAATGCAACTACCATCTGATGTTAAATTATACTTAACTGCAAAACAAAAACAAAACTACACTTCTTTATTAAACAGCTAAACCAACTATTGGTTTGCTCTAATCACTGTATTTTCAAAGCATGTATAATCATCAACTGATTAATCACTCTTTATGTAACTTATGTAACTCTGCACGTTATTTCTAGGCTGTGACAAGGATTCTGTTTTATTTTTGGGTGGGAATGTGGTTAATGAGGACAGGTGGCAATACAAAATGTAATGCAGTATCATTCTAATGTATATATAAAAATATAAAGTGTTTATGTATCTTCTATTTTTATATACAGATAAGAGGCTAGAAAAAATACTAGAAGGAATTACATCAAGATACTCTCAGTGGTTATCTCTAAGCATTGGGATTATGATAATCTTTAAGCTCATTGTTTTAAGCTCTAAAAGTTTATATGTTCCTTTAAGAAAATTCAGAAAAACACAGAAAAGCCTGAAAACAAAAATGAAAATCACCTGCTCTCAACACTCATCCCCAAATCATTTTTAACACTTGGGAATATTTCTTTGTAGCTATTTTTCTGTCTCTAAGTATGGATATATTGTAACATACAAATCATACAATATATACTATTTAGGAACCTATTTTCAATTGCCATTAAGTATTTTCTATGCCATTAAATATTCTGCTAAAGCATGATTTTCTTCAGCTGTGAAGTATGCCTTTGCACAAATACTTACTTTATCTTGGTAATTATCTATTTTTGCATATTTAGGTTACATCCGTTTTTTTTAGTATTAAAAATGAGGCTGTGATGAATATTCCTGAACATAAATCTTTGCATACCACTCTGCCAATTGCCCCAGGAAAATCACCCTAAAGGGGACTTTGTTAACAGCTCCTGTTCTGAAATACACTGTCAAGCTGCCTTCTACAGAGTACCAGTCACACTCCCAGAACACTGAGCGGCAGTGCTCAGTTACATGGATTTTTATATTTTTTTCTTGATGAGTCTGTTTTCTTAATTCTCAACAATAGACATTACAGCGTACCATTTTTACCTGACGTAGCTGACTTGTGTTTGAAATCTGGCCTTCTCAGTTTCCTCCTACTTCATCAATTGCTCCTTCTAGAGACTTGCTCAAATTGCCATCAATGTCTACTTATTAGAGTTATCAATATTTCATTTATTAATTTGGCTTCTGTAATCCAAGTATGCAAAGCAGAGAGAAGGACCTCCTAGCTTTCCCAGCTTTCTTGATCAGCTGAAAGCACTCTGCCGGGAGTCCTAAGACTCCTTTAAGAAAGATTACAGCCACAGTCATGGGGAGCCACCCATTAGAAGCCAGAACGCTTTCTCCCCAGTTGCCCTCACTTGCTGTTTTGCCTTTTTAGTTCTTTTCTTTTAAAATCTATATGATTTGGGGGCAGCCCCAGTGGCGCAGCGGTTTAGTGTCACCTGCAGCCTGGGGTGTGATCCTGAAGACCTGGGATCGAGTCCCACGTCAGGCTTCCTGTATGGAGCCTGCTTCTCCCTCTGCCTGTGTGTCTGCCTCTCTCTCTGTCTCTATGAATAAATAAAATCTTAAAAAAATAAAATCTATATGATTTGTATCAAATAAAATATATCAAATTTTTATCAAATATTATATATCAAATAATATGATGTTAACAAAAAAAAATCCACCTGCCTACTGCCTTTCATTCATTTCCAGTGTACGCCTCATACGTGCTTTTAATCACTACGATCGTAGGTACAAGGTTGTGTGCTACTTTTTCATTTAACTTAACACCATACATATTTTTCAAGGCTGCCACATGAGTTTCACAATCATTTTTTCTTGTAAAAGTCATTACTGATCATTGTAAAATACCCAGCCAGCACAGGTAAGTATAAAGTGAAGAGTGGGTGTCTTTTTCTCTTTTCTTATTCTAGTGAGAACACCTCTGGTTTTCATGAATGGGTGTGCTCTAGCTTTTGGGTTAAGAGAAGTACGTTCTTCCAATGTTACAGAAACAGAGAATAGAATGGTGGTTGTCAGGGAAATAGGGTGATATAGGTCAAAGGGTCCAAATATTTAGTTTAAGAGGAGGATCTGAGGATCTAAGATACCACATGTTAACTATAATTAATAACATGGTATATTGTGTACTCTAGAGTTCCTGAGAGATCTTAAGCATTTTCACAGCACACACACATAGAAGAGTTAACTATATTAACTATATGAGGGGATAAATGTGTTCATTATCTTGAGCGTGGTAATTACTCTAAAATGTATATGCATATCGAATTATCATGTTGTGTACTTTAAATATGTGCACTATATGTGTGAATTATTTCCCAATAAAGTGAAAATTGTTAAAAAGAGAGAAATATGTTTTTAACACACAGATATCTCTATTCCAATTGCATTTCAAATTCTTTATTAGGAATGGATATTAAACTTTAACATGTCTCTTCAGCATCTAGATATTTACATATTTCCTTTTTGAGTCATTAATATGATGAACTATATTAATGGATTTCTTAAAGAACAATCCTTTCTTTTTTAAGATTTTATTTATTTATTCTTGAGAGACAGAGACAGAGACAGAGACACAGGCAGAGGGAGAAGCAGGCTCCCTGCAGGGAGTCCGATGTGGAACTCGATCTGGGATTCTGGGATCACGCCCTGGGCAGAAAGCAGATGCTCAACCACTGAGTCACCCAGGGTCCCAAGAACGATCCTTTCATTCCCATAATTAATTTAGTTAATTAAAAATGTTTACTTTGAGCTCACTGTCCTCAGTTCTACGAAATTATATACAGTGTAACTACAACAGAGATGGCTATGTCCTCAGAACTAATCTGATGGGGGAGAGGAGTTCATACTGGAATATAAGGATATAAGTAGAGTATGTAAGTATAAATTATTATTCGTGTTTCAAAGAAAAAGAACTGGTTTCATAAGGACCATTTGGTCATGAAATATGATTTTTTTTTCTGGATTCTACTTGCTCATCTTTTATTTGAGACTTTTACATATTAATACTCAGTAGTGAAAATAGTTCATGGTGTACTGTTTGGGATCAGTATACTGATTATGTAAAGAAAAAAAAAAGGTGAAAGCTTTCTTCTTATGTCCTCAAATAGTTTAAACAACATCAGAATAATCTGTTTCTTAAAGATTAAATGCATTACCATCTAGGTTGAAAGTAAATGTAGTCCTGATTCTCTTCAGGATGTAGCTTCTATTTCTTCCACAGCTATTTTCCTTTAAGAATTAGCAGTTTAATCAAGTTTTCATATTTATTTTCAATTTTATCTTGAATTTTGGGTATTTGAGATTTTTCCTTTTTTTTGTCTTATGGTCTATTTTAATGTCTTTTATGAATAGATTTTGGGTTTATCAATCCATTGTTTTTTGGTTCTCTATTTCATTAATTTTTTACCTTTATTAAGCACTCCTTTTTGCTTTCCTCAGCTTTATTTCAGTTTTATTCCTCCCTAACTTTTTGAGTGGAGTGCTTGACTTACATTTAAAGTAATGAATTTCCTTCTGAATATAGCACTAGTCATAAACTATAGGTTGAATAGTGTTTTCATAATAATTTTAAAAATATATGCTGCAATGAAATCTTGTTTTCTACTAGGGTCCAGCAGTAGTTTAAGAGTAGTGTTAACATTTCCAGATGTTACAGTCTTACTCTTTTCTATTTTTGTTATTATTTTCTGTTTTTATTTCGCTGTGATCTGAGAATGTGGTCTGTACTATTTCAACTTCCTGGAATTTATCAAGGATTTCTCTGTGGCCAATTATATAATTACCTTCTGTGAATGTCACACAGGCACTTGAAAGCAGGTGTATGGCCTGTTTTCAGGATTTAGAGTTCAACGCGAGATCAAAATTATGGACTCATTCCTCTATCCTTACATATTTGTCTACTGTGGGACTCAGGAAATTTAACAAAATCCCCTACCCCTGGACAAGCAGAGCAGGACTGACTCTATTTTGGGCTGCACCCGCCTCGTGCTGACCTGCTTATTACTTAGGGCACTGCCCCGCCCTAATCAAAGACCAGGGCACACCCTAATCGGAAATCCGGCTCAGCGGAGCAGCCTGACTGTGCAACTTTCTGTGTATCCCATGGGCCACTGGCCCCTATAAAGCTGCTACGCCTCTTAGTCTCGGGGTACAAGTCTCTGCTCCGCTGTGTCGGGTGCACTTGGACCCAGGCTCGAGCTTGTAATAAACCCTCGTGTGTTTGCTTCGGTGTCGGCTCCTCGGCGGTTTCTCGGATTCGCGATCTTGGGCACAGCACCTACCCATCTTCCATGAGCTAAGAGAAGTCTGCTAGTCTTCTCATATTCTGTTAATGTAATTTCCAAAAGAGCTGCTGCTCGAGTCTCTGAAGGTCTCCTGGCCGTGCTGTCTCCTCTCCTGACCCCCAGGCCCACCATGATGAGCAGCTAAATACTAATATGGGACCTCCAGGAGCCCCTGCTGCATTTAATGCTTCTGCCTTGATTTTAATGCAGATAGTAATAGTATGGCCTCTGCTTTCTTTTACTTTCAATCTGAGTTACCTTGTTTTAGATGACACTTACGTATGAAGCCAAAGTATTTCACAACCAGCAAGGGCCAATTAGAAAGCACTATTTCTATGACTCTCACAGATCTGACCCTGAGGACACTGGCTGAATCCAATTTCAGAATCTTTTTCAAAATCAACCTGGTAGGAATGCCTGGGTGGCTCAGCAGTTTAGTGCCTGCTTTCAGCCTCTGGCGGTCCTGGAGTTCCAGGATGGAGTCCCACATCAGGCTCCCTGTGTGAAGCCTGCTTCTCCCTCTGCCTGTGTCTCTGCCTCTGTGTGTTTCTCGTGAATAAATAAATAAAATCTTAAAAAAAAAAAAAATCAACCTGGGAGTTTTTCCTGAGGTCCAATTTGGGAATCTTTCCTTATTACTAGGTAAATTTACCCTATCTACATTTACAATCATAATTGGTCTGTATGATGATCTTAATTCTGTTATCTTACTTTCCTATCTAAAATTTCCTTTTTAAAAATTTTTTTCCTTTTTTCAATATTTTCCTATATAATGGACATTTTGTCTCTCAGTTCTTTTGCTTTTGTTCCCCTATCTGGTAATTTGGAATGAAACAAATGTAAAGTTCTTTTTTCTGTTCTTTTGATCATCAGCATACTTGAATATAGCATAAATTTGTTTCTATAAGTAACTACCACAAATACAAATCTTCTGATTCAAAGGAGAAAACTAGTTCATGAAATGAAAAGAAATGAAAGCTCCAGCCCTTCCTCAGCATAAGGGCTGCTGCCTGTCCCAATGCTCTAAGTATAATCTACAGTCATAGCAAACAACACACGATATATGGATCATCTACGTCATCTGCAAAGAAGAGGCAACGGAAGAATTATAAATTTTTAAAAAGGCAATTTTCCAAATGATTGATGAGAGCTCCTAGTGTTGACTTACATGAGAGAGAGAGAGAGAGAGAGAGAGAGAGAGAGAGAGAGTGTGTGTGTGTGTGTATAAGAAAGGGGAGGGGAAAGGATAGATTCAAAAATATATAATGGGCTTACAGAAGCTAAAGTTTTCAAATTTTATAAGGTGCCTTCAGAAAAAAAGGGGATGGATCAACAATGAATGAAAAGAATGAAAGAAATGCAGATTTTAAGAAAATCATACTGCTTACATTTATGTTTATTAGCCACATTTTATTAAAGTTTTATAAAAGTAAACAAGAGAAGTCTTGATAAATAATCCTTGACACAAAAGTTTCAACTGGAATCATTCATTTGTTCCTCTTTTAATAATTCTCAATTATACACTAAGAAAAACAATCCTCAAGTTGTCAGAGAGCAAATAAAATTACCAAGAAGTAAAAACTCTTACATATGTTTTTAAAACAACTAAACACACCAATTTTAGCCACGGACATGCCAAATTTTATTTGCATAATTGAGACTAGGTTTCTTTCTACAGATCAGAGTTGAAAAGTAGAAATAATGAGAAAGGAATACAATGATCAAGTCCTCTTCTTCCAATCTCTTTTCTGACTTTGCCTGGCTAGATTAGAGAATTAGGAAACAAAACGTGTCCTTACCGAGAAGTGCCACCAGAGTTAGCAGAATCACCATGTGCTTCACTCCCTTTCTCTTATGGAAATACAGCAGAATGCAGAAAATTAATATTTCTAAAATCTAGAAATGAAAAAGATGAAAAAGAGTAAACTATAAATTATTTTATACAAAGTCTTCAGGATGCCACACTTCTCTGATTTTGCAACAGTTCTCCTGTGAGAGCTGAGGGTGACTGGCATTCCTAAGGACAATTATAAACATAGGGGAACAATATAAGGATCTTCAGCCATTCAGACTAGGGCTCTAACCTCACCTACATGCCAGTGACCTTGAGATCAGCAACTCCAGTCTCATTTATCCAAATACCTTCTAGACATTTCCACATGCACATTTAATAGCCATATCACACAGATATGGACAATGCTAAACTCCTGAGTGCCTTCCTTCCCTACATATCCCTCCTGGGGCCTTCATCCTCAAAATGAATGGCTCAACACCTACCTCCCGGCACCAGCCAGCAAATCCTTCCTTTCCCCTACTCCCTGCTACCCTCTCTCTAACCAATTCATTTTTGATTCTACTCTTGCCTCTACAATCCAGCCATTCAGCAGCCAGAGGAATCATTTAAAAGCACAATTTGAATAATGAAATGTTATTCATAGAGAAGATATGTGATATACATATAAAGTCTTTACATAATATGACAAGTAGTCAGGTGCCCTGCACCCAGCCAGCGAGAGAGAACCTACCAAGACCTGTGAAGCCTCTTGCGTGCCACTCCCCAATTGCACTCTGCTCCTGGTAGGATCTCCCCAGCAACCACTACGATGAATTTGTGTGTTTACTATTCACTTTCTTTATAGTTTACCACCTTTTATGTATCCTCAAACCACACTGTTTATTTTTGCATCTGTCTGGACTTTGTATATGCAGAGTCATACTTGCTTTCACTTACTTGCTTTTTTTCACTCTGTTTATTAGATTTATCCAGGATGATATATGTAGTAGAAATATATATTAAATCTAGTCATTCCTTTGCTCAAACCCCCTGTGGTTTCCTATCACATTAAGGATAAAATCCTGGATGGCCAACCTGTGCCAGCCACAGATGCCCCACCCCCACCCTCATCCCATTTTCTGCAAAGCTCAGATTGCTCTTGCCTTTGGACCTTTGCATTAACTGTTGGAGTTGCCTGGAATACTTCCCTGATCTCCCTACAATGCCTCCTTCCAGTCACTAAATTTCAGCTTAAAGATCACCTCCTCCGAGATGTGTTCTGACCACTCTGATCTAACAGAGCCACCATTCATCTACTCTGTAGAGCGTTTTATCATCATCTGGAATATTTCTTGTTCATGCATTTTTGTGTTCCTTGTCTGTCTCCCTGACTAGCACACAAGCTCTATGAGAACAGGGATCTTGACTGTCCTCTTTGCCACTGTCTTCAGTGCCTGGACACAGTCGGTCACTGAATAAGTATTTATGGAATTAATGAATAAATTACACCTTAAATTTATTATGAACTTGCCAAAAAACCAGACCTAATGTCTAATAAACTGAGTGTTCAATAAATATTAATTGACTGTCTAAAATTTTCTTACCCTTAAGAAAACGCTAACGTAACTTTGAGTTCTCAATTTTATTTTTGTTTTAACATTTTTTTTTTTTTTTCTTTTTGGAAGTCCTTAAGATAACCCAAAGCAAAGCTGTTTTGGTTTTTTTTTTTCCCACGAAGGCAGTATCCCTGGACTGAAATCATAAATAAAAATGTTTACTTTTCTGACGTCAGACAAGTAAAAACACCACCACATTTTTTTTCTTAGGAATTACTAGGACTTTACTACGTTCAGGTCTGCATTTTACTTAATGGAGCCCTCTCTAAGTTAGCATGAATCTCTACTGTTTCAGTTCCAGGTTTGCTTGGTTTTTTTCCTCTTAATCCTTTGTGGGCATGGAAAACAGCAGGACCATATCTTCTTCATGTAAAAACCTTTCATCTCATGTGGAAGATTAAGTCATCCCTCAGTCTTTTCCTGGTTAATTAAACCAATTACTTTAACTTTTTTTATCGGACTTATTTGCCAGATCTTCAATTTAATCAAGTCAGGCTACAAAAGTTTAAACTCCTATCCCTTTGCCTTCCCCAAAGCTGCCATCAAAACATTGGGTGTCCCAGTGTCTGTACAGATCATCAATTGTTAACAGAAATATCCCCGTTGGCTTTGTCTGCCTTCAAAGCACAGGCTTTCATTCCTCACATCATATGATTACAGACAACTCACAGCAGCATTTGGGACCACTTGTACTCATTGCTGGAGAGAAGGCACGAATGCACTGAGCGTGTTAGCTAATCTATTAGCCAGAGGATTATTATTTCTGGGAAGGGGGTGGGGGGAAATGAGGGTAGTTATCAGTTCTAAATATCACATATGACTTTTTTTCCAAATTCCATTGCTGTTGCTTTAGATAAATAAAACATGAGCTCCCGTGACTCAGAATGACTGGAGCTGCCCTGCATTCTGTCTTGTGGCAAGAGGTCATAGACCTCCCAGAATAAAATATTCAAGCAGCATGGATTAATGTTAGTTTTTCCTAGGTGACATTTTTTTCCCCTCTCTGAAAATATCAACATTAAAGCAGCAGTGATTTTTTGGGTTGCTGAGACACAGAAAGAGGCAGCTTTGCTGATTGCTATCTCAGAGGTCAGAAATAATAACAGCACTTACTGCAGGCTTACCACGTGCTTTACTTGCACTAATTCATTGAGTCCTCACAATGACCTTAGGAGACAGGCAGTGTTATCTCCATTTTACAGATGAGGATACCAAAACTCAGAGGGGTTAAATGATGTAGGTTTGGTAGGCCGAATAACAGCCTCCCAAAGATGCCCACGTCCTAATCTCTGTAACTAGTATGTTACTTTGCGTGGCAAAGGGGCTTTGGCCCTTAATTAATTCCTTAATCAGGCTATGGACCTTGAGATGGGGAGATTATCCTGGATTATCCAAGTGAGTTTGAAGTAATTGTCTGAGTCCTAAGAAGCAGAAAACCTTCACAAGCCTGCTCGGAGGGAGATGTAACATGAGAATGAACAGAGTCAAGGAACGCTGGTGGCCTCTAGAAGCTGGGAGAGGCAAGGAAATGGATTCTCCAGAGGCACAAGTAAGGAATATAGCCCTGCTAGTACCTTAATTTTAATCCAGTGGAACCCATGTTGGATTTATGACCTTCAAAACTGTAAGATAATAAATTCATGTTGTTTTAAGACATGAAGCTTGTGACAATTTGTTATGGAAGTAATAGGAAACTGAGATTTTGGTATCTGAGGTCTTTCCAGAGGAACAGACTCTTCAGGATGAGTTTCCTGAATCGACTCCAGGTTTTATGGATTGGTTCTCTAGTCCATTTAGATTTAAAGGCACTCATCACCCTGTTTTCAGTGGTGAAAAGAACACTGGCAGGCCATGGGATGCTGTGACAAAGGAGATACACAAAATTTCATCATTAGATACTCCACTTCCAGTACAAAAATCTGAATCCACATTTACCTCACCTCTCACGAAGTCTTTCTTTCTTTTCTTTCTTTCTTTCTTTTCTTTCTTTCTTTCTTTTTTTCTTTCTTTCTTTCTTTCTTTCTTCTTTCTTTTTCCCTTTTAAAGATTTTATTTATTCATGAGAGACACAGAGAGAGGTGGAGACACAGGCAGAGGGAGAAGCAGGCTCCATGCAGGGAGTGTGATGTGGGACTCAATCCCAGGACCCTGGGATCACGCCCTGAGCAGAAGGCAGACGCTCAACCACTGAGCCACCCAGGTGTCCCACCAATTCCTTTCTTGAAAGTATATACTCTGAGATGACTTTCTTGTCAAAAAAACAAAACAAAACAAAACAAAACCCAAAACAAACAAACAAAAGCCACTGCAAAAGCTCTCTTTAGGGTCAAGTCTGGGCAAAGATTTGATCCTCCATGGTCAGTTTTTATTCATTCTGCATAGAGAGGTGTGTACTGGAACGGATTGGAGAGTGCACCCTGGAGGTGGGCTGTCTGGTTTTGAATTCTGGTTCTGCCACTTAGTATTTATGTAACCTTGGATAAGTTACCTACCTCAGCTTCCCCATCTGCCAATGTAGAGGACAGAACATATTCCGAGTTCCCCACACAGGATTCAGCTTGTTTGGTGAGCACAGGCTGCTCTATTGCGGAAGCGAGCCCCACGGCAAGCGTGTACGTGCTCAGATGGCAAAGCAAAAGAACCTCAGGCAATGCGTATTGAGGTCTTATAAAAACAGGTTTTTTTCCTTCAGGTTTCTAACACCTGGTGGTGGATTTTGAAGCAGCTCTGCCAGAAAGGCTGACTTAATAATCAGCTTTGGGGTATAGCATTACAACAAACAATAGGGCATGGCTCCTGCTTCTGCTGATTTAATTTTTTGTCTGGTAGAGAGAAAATGAACACCTTTCAGATTATTTTGTGAAGGATCTTATGTTCACAACAGAAGTTTCCATCTGAATTCTCTGTTGGAAAATCTGGGTGGACAAAATGGCTACAAAGAATGGCCTGCCAAAGAACACAAAGCAATTGAGGCTTACAGCCGAATTTCCTCATGCGCATTCTGCAGACTGCCTTAATAGGTATCACTCAACAAAAAAGCTCCTTCGAGAAGAGGACCCTGTGGTCAGCAATTTTGTTTCTTTCCTAAAGGACTTCTAGTAGAGATGAATTTCTCAGAATTTCCATGTTATGCAGCAGCTTTTCTAACCTTGAAAACACACTTGTTTTTTGCTTCTTGGCAAGCACCAGGTGGGATTTACCCACCTGTGAATACAGGCTGGGAAAAGTTGTTTCAGTGGGTGAGCAAAGGACACTTCATTCTTCACTGGCTGGTTGACATCAGGCTTCTCAAATCCTCTTCCTACTAAAATGAAAACAAACTCAGAGGACAGGCTCCTGGGTCTTGTTTCTGAGGCCTCTACTTTGTATGAGACTTAAGGGTAACCTGGACATCCACTTGGTATGGGTAAGCACATGACACAAGGAGGTGCTATTAGCCAGTCTGGGACACAATTTTACAATCCCCTTTTGAGAAATATAAAACTTTATTCAGACTATAAAATATTTTATTCATTTTATTAGTTATTAGAAGAGCAATTCAGGTACAGTATTTATCCTTGGTGTAATCCAAGAACAGTTAGGTGAATGATACTTCAAAGAATAGTCTTAATTGCTGTAATTGTGATCTTTGCCGTCACAGTTTGCAGAAAAAGCACAGAAACTGCCACCTCTGAGGATTAAATACTAATTACTTTGATGTTTAACAGATTTAAACCAAACTTCAGCTCAAGATCTTAGCATACTAATTACTTTGATGTTTAACAGATTTAAACCAAACTTCAGCTCAAGATCTTAGCATATAATTGATAACTTCTAGAGTCTTTAGAGTAACATATAATGTATTGTTGTATACATTGTAATACATTGTAACATATAATGAATTAAATTCCAAACTAAGATAATATAGATAATCCCCTTTAGAGTCTAAAGCCAATAATGTTATTCAAATGTGACTTTATTAAAGATTTATCTTATACTATCTTATAAATATCTGAAATTAGATTTTTGGATGACATTTACTTTCAAATATACTTTCATTATTTTATAAGAATATGGGCCTCTCCCAGGACTGTAAGTTTCCTGTTACAGGAATTCTCTATACCCTTGGTGTCTAATCAGTTGAATGAACCAGTGAATAAATGAATGAATGAATTTAAGAGTTGACTTTGGAAAGTAGCAAAATGCAAGTAATGTCAGAGGTTTTTTTTTGTGTGTGGAAACTTAACATTTAATAAAAGGTAGTTTTGTTCTTTTCAATGTTTCCTCTGGTGTTCAAACAATATATGATATGTCATCATCAAACAATGCTGTTTATCCCAGGAAACTAAGTCTTGATGCAATTTCAATCTCCAAAGGATTCAACTTGGGCTATTCATTTTCTGGTCACACACTATGTGACCCTTTTCTCACTGGATAAAGAATTTGTTTTGCTTGTAGGCAAAGAATAATAATATGTTGGTAGGACTTCAAGTCTAGGCTACCATGAAACACTCAATAAGTCCTTCTAGAGCCTTGGATTTGCTCAATGAAATCTGTTAAAGGGCTGGGTCTGGTGGATGAGCAGGTGGATACAATGGGGCAGAGGGGAGGCACAAGTATGACAGACCTGAGGAAGGCTAATATGAGCTGGAAAGTCCAATTCTAAAGGTTAGTGGAGAGCCGGGGGAAGGAAAGCCTTCCAACATAAGAAAGAAGAGAGTCCAGGGGACAAAATAATTGAGTTCAGTTTTTGAGATGTCACTTTTGAGGAACCTATGAGACATTTTTTTATTGAATTAAAATTATTTTACTACTACGGCTCTTGGTTAAATGCTCATTTAGTCTATCCCAGTTTTCTTCTTACCACCTGCCCTTCCTGGAACATGCTTATTCTTCAACCTAAACCAACTTCTGTAACAAGTTACATACCAACCATCTCTAGCACACCTTCTGTCTATAGCCACTGGATACAGTCACTACATCAAATAAAATATCCCAATTAGTGCCTTCAAATTTCTATATTGGCTCATTCCATTCTTTCTTTTACACATCTCTCAGTGTTATCCTGCTGCTGTTTACTTCTCCCAAGACAATCTTTTGCATTGGTCTCAAGGAATACTTTTTTGAAGAAAATATCTATCTTGAATAAAAGTCAGTGAAGTAGAATGTGTCTTCAGGCATTTCCCTTTGACCTGGGAAGGGAGGTTTTTTGTTTTTTTTTTTTGCTTTGAGTTGTCCTAAAACATGTTGCTCTGGAATTTGCTGGATTAAATATTATAGAAATTATTCCAGTGGCAAGTCACCCCCAAGAACAGGATACTCAGGAAACTGCTGATTTAATGTTTCAAATACTTTCTTATTGGTCAAATATATTTACAATTTAATGAGATATTAATGTTGAGAAGAAAAGATTTATTCTCTAACATCTGCATGTACCAGTGGTCTAGATAATATAACTTCTGAGATAGTAAAATGTTTAAGATTCTTACCACATAGATCAGGAACTGCCAGCCAACAAAGTAATAGTGTACTGTTCTTGCAGAGATAGACTGACTTCTGTTTGGAGCAAAGTTCACCAATAAATATGTTCCTGCAAATGCCAAGGTCATACCTTTAAACAAAATTGAAAAGGAATATTTAAACCTTTTTTGTCAATGCAAACATTACCTACAGAGTGAACATTACTTATAAAAGTGCCTATGGTTCCTTCCTATTAACATCTGATTGATCAAACTGTCCCAAGATAGCATCATGTATTCACTTGATGGCATTATCTTTAAAAAAAAGGGGGGGGGTGATAAGGCCCAGGGAAAGGATGTGGGTACGTTATAACTTCTGATTTTTCATTGTGGTTCCAGATGAATCATTGCCTCTTCAGGAAACCTTTCCCCAAAGATGGGAAAGATCAGAACACATGCATTTGGAGACATGAAAACACATCCAAGCTGGCTGATTCTACATGGACCAGTAAGTACATGATAGAACTAGATCCACCAGAGCCCAGAGAGTGGGGAAGTCCATCACCTGATGGATGACCTGATGATCTACTCTGTCCTTATTCATCTTTGAAACATTTACACAGATACAAACACACACACACACACACACACACACGATTTTATACTTTATTTAAAAAAATTTTTTTTAAGACTTTATTTATTCATGAGAGACTTACAGAGAGAGGCAGAGACATAGGCAGAGAGAGAAGCAGGCTCTCTGTGGAGAGCCCGATGTGGAACTTGATCCCAGGACCCCAGGATCATGCCCTGAGCCAAAGTCAGATGCTCAACCAGTGAGCCACCCAGGTGCCCAATTTTACACTTTTTAATCAATGCCATATACTAGAGTCCTTTTAGCAGAAATAACAAAGATAAGTGCTGACTTTGCTATAAGATTTGTTTAATCCAACTTAGAATCTAGATTCTAGGGCTAACGTAATAAAGTCACATTATAAACCTACGTAAGGCATGTGTTTACTGTTATCCCTTTATCATTACCTAAAATAATGGAGGAAAGAAAGGTGTATGGGAAGAGGGGCCACATGAGGAGGAATAAAGAGAGGCCTTTACATTCCAAATGACACTGAAAACTGCTTATTTATTAATAATCAGCACAGAAAAGCTGATATATGTAGTATTTTTCAGATAGCACCCTTAAAAAGGAATTCAACTTGTTTCATCACTATGGGTGGCATTGTTGTGTATATAATTTAAAACCAGCACTGACCCCAACCAGAAGCAATGTGGTTTGTCTATAAAATTTCACAATTGGAAGATACCAATTTCCTGTTCCTCTTAACCAAATGATTTAGGGTTTTGAACTCTTGTTTCTGGGAACAGAGAGCACTGGACTTTTCACACAAGTTAGACAATAGCTATTCAAGGTATCGTAGAAGCTATAAAATAAGCTTCCTTTAATGTAAGAACTTACTCTGTAATACTTTGCGAAGGCAGAAATTATATACAAAATTTTAAAAGCTATTTCTAATGAGAATTTTAAAAATGAGAAAAACTATATTATTAAGTATTGGGATAAAAGGAGAATAATACAAATTATAAGTACCTAAGAACTTGGGCAAGATTATTGGTGAGCCCTGTCCTTTCTTTGAAAAAGAAAAAAAAAGATCTTATAATGGTTCAATATTAGGTTGCTAGAAGGATGGGATTCTAAAAGAAACCAGTCTTCTTTTTTTTTTTTAATTTTTATTTATTTATGATAGTCAGAGAGAGAGAGAGAGGCAGGGACACAGGCAGAGGGAGAAGCAGGCTCCATGCACCGGGAGCCCGACGTGGGATTCGATCCCGAGTCTCCAGGATCGCGCCCTGGGCCAAAGGCAGGCGCCAAACTGCTGCGCCACCCAGGGATCCCAGAAACCAGTCTTCTAAACTTGGTATAGTGAAGTAGAATAAATGCATTGAATACAACTTAAAAATCTCAGAGACTTCCAATTTTCTTTTGTGAAATCCAAATTTCTTATTTTTATTGAGTTTCTCTGCCAATAATTTTTTAAATCTCCTCTAACTGTATCTAGTGTGGTTAAATTTATTTCAAATTTAGTTTTGATTGGATAACACATGTATATGGTAAAAAAAAAAAAAGTCAAAAGACACGAAGGGTGGTGAGTGAAAAGTTAAATCTCCCTCTCACCCTATGGCCCACTAGTTCCCCTCTTGCAAGTTAATACTGCTACCAAATCTTTGATTTCCCTTTTCAGAGATGTTTTATGCAAGTGTGTGAGAAAGTGCATGAGTTTGAGTTTTCTACACAAACAAGAGCATATCATATACACTTTTCTGTACCTTGCTTTTGTTCTGCTTAACAGAACATCTTGGAGAATATTTCACATCAGTGTATATAGGGCAACCTAATTCTTTTTAAGCCTGCATAATATCCCATTCTGTGGAGGCAGTGTTATTTATCTTAACTTTCTTAACAGGGTCCCTGCTTCCCATCTGCTTTCATATTTGCATATTGTGCCCAGTTCAAAATGTAGATCTTCACTGCATTTCAAAACTCCATAAAAACAAATAAAATGACTGGTGACTGCAATTTTACTTTCAAAGTACTTCTGCACCTGTATTATTTCACTTGAGCCCCATATCACTGTGAATCTAGTTAATGACTCTATGGCAACTTGGTAGGTAACACATTCCTTTTTCTTCTTCATAATTTTAATTTCAGTTTCCTCTGACAATTACAAAGGTAGTTCTAGATAGCTGCTATCTGTTGTATGTTTGTTTGCTTGGTGTCATTTGTCTGTGTGATTCACTCTCTCCTTTATGGATCATGTATACATGTTTCCTAAGTGTTTAAAAGTGTTGAAGATACTAACAGCTCCTTATATAAATGTCCTTAAAATGTATATATATTTCATATTTTTTCTAAAAGTGGCATCAGATGTCCTTTCCTGATATTTTTATTTCAGTAAAGCCACAAATACTCTTTCATTGAAAGACACAGATTTCTAAATTAGAAAACTTGTTAGTTTACTTTCCGCCGGTCCATTTGCCCAAGAGAGTTATCTGGAAGCACAAGATACTCAAGGAGAGGAACCAACACTTGGTATGCTCTTTGCCCAAGGAAATGATTAAACTCCAGGTCAACACTTGGATCATGAAAGTCTAATCCACTAATCCACACTGAAACTGCCCCCATAGTATTCAAATTTCACTGCTACTTGCTGGCTGGAAAAGATTAGGCATGTTACTTAGCCCTCTGTGACTTAGTCTCCTCATTTCTAGGCGCAAATGAACTTATCACACCTGCTAGACTCCAGGAATTTGGCTGGGCAAGAAGCCAATCTGGGGAGCTGAATAGATTTGAAAGCTCATCTGGTGGCCTGATGTGACAGAGGACTCTGGGACAGATCTTCTTCAGGATACCGATCACTAGGAGTCCAAAGCTATCTCAGTTAAGCTTAAAAATTAATCTGAAGTTGGTAGCTCCTTCTGTACACGGGTCCTGTCCCTATGCTACCATAAAAGCACCTTTTTTCTTGAGGCAGCCCTGAAACCAAAAGTCTGTTCTCTCAACCAGAAATGATGGTTTGTTTGGCTACATCGGTATTCTAGATACCAGCCCTAAACCTAGCTGACCATCTGGTGTGGGAGAAGGAAGGAAAGAGATGGTCTTCATGTCACTCTTAATCTAGGGAAACCATTTATTAGTGACTTGAAGTAATCAAGTTACTGGTCTCTGGAGAGTACTGATGAATTGGTTGTATTTTTTTTAATGATAATACTATCTGGACTTAAGTCAACTAGGATCATACAGCCTATTAGATTTAGTACTTTTAATGATTAAGGCAGAAGCGAGGGGAAAGTACTATAGGTTTTGGCTGACTGAAGGGGAGAGAAATCTGGTGCTTTTTAAAGGAAAAATAATCATTAAAATAATTTAAAGTTATTAATCCACTAAGAATCAGAGCACAGTCCAAAGCCTGTCATTGAGTTAATAATAGTTGGCGATTCATTTCAGACATAGCTTTTGTGAGGTCATTTTTTGAGGCTAGTGGTGAAAAGCTTCATAGCCACAGAGCAACATTTGGCAATAAATTAGTTCAGCTTGTTTCCACATGGCCCAAAAATCTTCATTTGTTCCATCATGAAAAACAAGCTATCATTTTCTTGAAGCAGGGAAAAATAAATGAATTTCTTTTGCACATTTTGACAATTTAATTTTTAGCATGCTTATATGTTAATCTTTCTATTTTTTTAAGCCACTAACTACTCTCTCCCCTGTTTGGTTTTAGCCTCTGTAAAGAAAAAAAAAAAATCCCTGCATTTTTAGCTCTTTACAGAAAGAGCCAGATTTTCTTAAGGCAGCAGTGGGTTATTACATCTCAGGTTATGATAATTTTATGACATTGCTGTAGGAGACATGGGTATGGAAAAGGTGGCTACCTTTTTTTTCTTCTTCCTTTGCCACTAAAGTCAAGAATTGATCATTTTCAACGACAGTATGATACAAATGTGACATCAGTTATATAGCACTACTCAAAAAGCATTCAATAAAAAGGCAAAAATATCCAACCAGAGTTATGGAAAATGTTGACTGGATTACTAAAGTTTGCAAAAATACTAATCAAGGTTTGTTCTGATGAACCACTGGAGTACATGTAGAAGTGGGGGTGGTGGTAGCAGTGGTAATGATAATAGCTAACATCAATCGCTTATTACGTGACAGGCCCTGTTCTTAGAGTTCTATCTCTATGAACTCATTTAATCCTAGAGGGTAGGTAATATTACCTTCATTTAAAACATGAGGAAAGGAGCCTCACGGAGATTAGGTAAATTTGAAAGGCCACACAGCTTTCTGCCCCTAGAGACTCATCTTCAACTATTACACTATATCGGGCTGCCATTATTAGAATACTGGTCCACTATTCACTGGTTACATGACCTTGGGCAAATTAATTAACCTAAGTATCAGTTCTGTAAATAGGTTGTTCCTACATTTAAATGAGATAGTTCATGTAAATGCCTGAAAAGAGGAAATATTTAATAAATGTTTTTCTTAAAAACAAGAGAAATTAGCAAAGAATCAAACTGTTAATAGAGGTTTAATTTTTTATTATTGTTATTTTTTGGTATGTGTATATATGTGTGTGTGTTTCTTATTCCTTATATTACATTTTTAGTATTACCTCTCAGGAATGAAGTTGATCATAGAAATTACGACAATTTTATTAACAGGACTTTACATTTCTCAAAGTGCTTATAAGAATTATTCAATTTGATCCTTAGAACAGTATTCTATATTCATGAACAAACTGATAGAGCAGTTAAGTGATATTATGCTGGCCACATAGTTGACAGAAAAAGTTGAATCCAGATTTGAATCTATAAAAGTAAGTTTAATTTATATCTTTGATGTTGAGCTCATTTATTGCTTTTAGTAATGTGTCATTGATCTTGGGATTTCCAAGTATATAATCAAATCATCTGCACACATTGATATTTATCTTTCTTCTCTTTCCATAGTTGTGACTTTCATTTATTTTTTTCCTAAACCTATCAGCAGCAGTTGAGTGCAGTATTAAATAGAAACTTACCCTGCCTATTTTGCACCTTTGTTAATACTTTTCACCTTAGTCCCTCTCTATGTCAACCTCCAAATGCTTGAAATGGCCCATGCCTGTCCTATCAGTTCAATCAGAACTGACTGAAATGTTAGATCTTCTATAAGAAATTCTTTCTGAGTTTCTTAGCTAGAGTAACCTCTATTTATTCTAAACCAGTGGTTCTCACCTGGGGGTGATTTTGTCCCCCTGGGGACATTTGGCAATATGTGAAGTCATTTTTGGTTGCCATAACTAGGGCAGATGGTGCTACTGGTATCTAATGGGTAAAGGCCAGGAGGAATGCTACTAAACATCCTGCAAGGCACAAGACAGCCCGCTGCAATGAATTCTCCAGCCTAAAATGTCAGCAGTGCTGAGGCTGTGAAACCCTGTTCTAAACCCTGTTCTAAAGTCCCAGGGCATTAAGACACGTAGTATTTTCCACTTTTAAGAATGTATTAATGTATATATTTTATCATCAACTCTATTATTTGAGGGCAGAGATTCCATCTTCATCATCTTATTATCACCAATGTTCACAGTAATTGAAATGTCCCTACATATCCACCTGTATTACCTCATTAAATACATTAGATTAATTTAAACCTTAGCCATTAACTACATAAGATGACATACATTAGATAAAATGATTTAGTTTTCATAAGACATTTGATAAATGAGAAAAATAATATAGGACCTAATTTTTTAATTTATAAAACTCAGGTAAATGCTCATTCTTATTTCTGATTCCATGCATCTTCCCCAAATGATTCCATAAACCATGATATATTTTTAAAAGTATAGAAAAATAAAATATTTGAAAAGAAACAATGCACATACCAATGCATTTGGAAAAACAATGTAACCATGACAAATTTGATGATATCAACCAAACATTCTATTAGCAGAATCAAACCAAAGAAGGAAAAGAAAAAGTGAAAATACTTTCAAGACACTAGGCTCTAGGAAAACACAATCAGGGAAAACAAATGCTCAACATACCAATACTGGTGTCACATTTAAAGCTCAAATTTTTTAAAAAATGTGATCTCCTTGGAAGTGAGTAGACACTGTTTTATTGAAAGTGCCTAAAGTATCATTCTTTGTTGTCATATTGTGTCAGCAGCAATTTAGAGAGGACTTTGTTAAGGAAGAAAATATGAAGTTCCAGAATCCTCATATGTGATATTTCCAATAAGAGGTGGAAGATACAATCAATACATGATGGCTTTGCTATATAATAGCAATCTTTCTTACAGCCAGGGAGGCTACTGTTACTTTCCACTAATAGGTGTATTTCTAAATAAAATTTTGAAGGGGAATGTTCTATGTTACTTTTGGAAAGAGTTAAACACAAATTAGGTAGGAAATTGATGTATTTAATTTTTGTGAGGTTTTCATTTGCATGCAGTGCTTTCATGTAACAATCTAATAAATACATCCTTTGAAGGCAAATACTCTCTTAGGTAACACAGTTGTTTTCTTGGATTTTATTATGCTCATGAAAATTTTGTAACATTCATAGTAACAATAGTATAAAATAATAATTAACTGTGGCCAATTGCATGGGCAGTGGGCACAATGGAAATTGAAATATTTCACATGAAAGAGCAGAAGGCAGATCCAAGAAAGAATACTATTCTTCTCCAAATGAGATTTATCCAGTTCAGTAATTTGTTCCTAGTTTTTAATGCACATTTTTAATAGTATTATTTATTTCCTGACCAAGCAGTGCTACAGTTACTTGAATTAAACAATTACTTACCTAGTAAATCTGAAGCTCTTAAGTTTTCTTTCAGAAACATAACAGAAATAATGGCACTACCTAGAAAGAAAATGGCTATTAGTGGTGTTTCCAATACAAAAACATCCATTATGCAATGCCATTTGAAAGGAGTTGAGCACTTTGTGTCTTATACCTGGCCTAGCTATGTCCTGGTCAGAGACACCCAGTAGCTGTGCCTGTGAAAACAACTTTTCCCCCCTCACGGTTGAGGATACATAGAAACTGACCTGGTTTATAATGGACTGAGGTCAGTGGCTGGGATAGTGCCCTGTGGACAGCAAGAGCATATAAAAGATTACCAAACAACTAAATGAACAAATGGAGAGAAAGGAAAGAGAAAGAAGAAGAAAAGAAAGAAAGAAAGAAAGAAAGAAAGAAAGAAAGAAAGAAAGAAAAAGAGAAAGAAAGAAAAGAAAAAGAGAAAGAAAGAAAAGAAAAGAAAAGAGATCAGAAACAATGAGAAGGGAAGGCAAGAAAGAGTGGAAGCAAGTTTTAACTTTAATATATCCCAGACTGAAACACATTATTTCCCTTCATCTCTTCCTATAATTCCTAGTCTAATGATACCTCTAAAGAGCCCCAGAATCCTAGGACTCCTGTCAGTCTCCACTCTCCTTCACACTCCACATTCAACAGGATCCTGGGTCTGTTGGGTCTGAATTTCACCATCTGTCTGGTCCACTCACTCCTCCTCAGACCAGTGTCATTGTGCTGCTCAGGCCAGCTGCACTTCAGGCTTAGACCTTAGGCTCCTGCCACTTTCCTCACCACATTTGTCCTTGATCTCTTTGATGTCCTATGCCCATCCTTACTAAAATAATCAGAATTCCCAGACCATCATTTAATTTCATTCTAAAGGACTTTTATTTGTGTTCTTTCCTTTGCAGCTCTGGCTCCATTCTTGTGACCAACTATGGACTCAAGTATCACCTCTGGATTCCCCTAGACCCAGTTAACCAATCCATCCTTTTGCATAATTACCACCTCTACTATAGCTTTCCTGTTACACTGAAGATTTATCTCCCTATCTGTCCTCAAAGACTATCAGTTCTTTTTACTCTGAGGTATGTCTTATTCTTATAAGATCTCCCAGGTGTTCCTAGCACATAAATAAGAGAGTTTGTGGGATCTCTGCCCTGCATTTGCTGGCCCTCGTGGTGTAAGGTCTTCTCCATTACTGATGCTACTGAACACTCATCCTCTGAGTGATGACCTGCTACCTGCCATAGCCTCAGGTTATGTAGGGTATGTTGAATCTCTCTGAATTGTTCCTCTCCTCTATAAGTAGAGGCATGGGAAAATCCAACTTGTAATAATACAAAACAATACACAAAATAATTTGTATTTAAAATTTTTAGGAGTGGGGAGGGGCAGAGGGAGAAGGAGAGAGAGACTCAAGCAGGATCCACACCCAGCGTGAAGCCTCATGTGGGGCTTGATCTCATGACCCTGAGATTATGATCTGAGCCAAAATCAAGAGTTGGATGCTTAACTGTTTGAGCCACCCAGGTCCCCCTATATTTTAAATTTTTAACATAAATTATTAGCTAGGTTTTTAAGTTTGTTTTTTATTTTTAATATTTTTATTTGTTTTTAAAATTTTTATTTATTTATTCATGAGAGGAGACACACAGAGAGAGAAGCAGAGACATAGGCAGAGGGAGAAGCAGGCTTCATGTAGGGAGCCTGATGTAGGACTCTATCCCAGGACCCCAGGGGATCATGCCCTGAGCCAAAGGCAGATGCTCAACCACTGAGCCACCTAGGCATCCCTAAGTTTGTTTTTTAAAGTGAAAAATATAGGGAAGAAAAGTCATCATAAAAATGACTCATCACCTAGAGAAAACTGCAGTTGACATGTTGGTATGCTTATTTTATCTTAGCAATGTTTTTTCAGTCTTTTTAGTTATTATGTTATTAAATTTGTCAGATCATTTAAAATTCTTCAGAGATAAAAATTTTAATGAGTCCATATAATAATTCATTAAATCAGTTAAATTTAAATATAACTATATCTGGTATTCTGGCAATGAATGAAAACAAAGTAAATCCACACCAGAAATCTTCATTCAAGATAAGCTGGGATTCTCTTACGTTTTCTTCATATTTTTCTCAACTGGCTCTTTCTTATTCAAGCTGAGCTATGTCCTTGCAAACTTCTCCTGGGGAGGTTATTTATTGGAATGGATGTTTCACAGAATAAACAGAGCATGAAAAATGTCCAACAAGCATGACTTTAACTGGGTGCTGTGTACTTAAAACAGTAAAGCAATGTTTTCTGTATGGATATGTAGCCTATTAACATTAAGAATTGAGTTAGGAACATGTGTAAAAATGTATGAAAATTTTCCATTTCATATTTGGACCAAAACCATTCAGGGAAACTAATTTCATATGTTAGAGAACTAAAAAAGGTACAAAAACCAAGACCCCATTCCCATCCCATTACTGACTTCCTGTGTAATTGCATAAGAAATGTTTCCAAGTGGAGAGAGGTAGATCAATAAGAAATAAGTGAAGTATCACTACTAACATATATCAAATGCCATTCCATTATAACAATCCATGAGATGACTGTTTCACAGCAAAGGAGCCCAGTAGGAAGACAGACATTGCTTACATGGAATAAGGTCATCTTAGAGCTGGTAGGAGATACACAGACAATGTATTCCAGGTCCTAAACCTTATATTTGGGAGACAGGTCCAGAGAAGTTGTTTGTTCATTCACTGATCCATTCATCTGACAAACATTTATATTACAGCAGAATTGGAACCAAAGCCCACATTTCCTTATCCCCAGTCCAGAGCTCTTTCGAGTACACTACACTCCATTCCCTCCTTTGAAAGGAGAAAGACATTGTTTTCCTTCTCTTCTTGTTGCTAAACTAGTTTCATAATTTCACTTTTAGAAGGGTTGGGAGAAACGTTATGTAGGTGACAATTTCATTGCTAAAAGAGAAAAGGACATGATTGCTAACAACAAACTTAAAATCCACTACATGCATCAAATTATATTAACTGCCATAAAATAGTTATCAGAGTTTTGTTTTATGAACATAAATATGCTACTTTTGCTTTCTGAAAGAACGTATGTCTAATGTACTTCCATATTCATTTTTTTGTTTGAAAAGAATGTGAGTTTTTCTAAAAAATTGTTAGGTAAGAGAGTAATATTTTTAGTTTTAACTAACAAAGGAAGTAATAAAAGTGAACATTCTGTTAAGAAACACTCCTAGTTCATTTATCATTCAAAATATGGTTAAAATGAGAGCTGTGCTGGGCAAAAAGACTGAGCAACAGCTAATAACATGACTTCTAAGCAGAGCAGTAAATTTTTAAAATGAGAAAAAATGAATAAACTGAAGTGCCCTAAATACATTTGCCATCAGAGATCCGTCAAGCTCAATCCTGTCTAGTTGTTGCTGTAACAACCACCACTGCCTAATAAACACCTAGGAAGAGGAAAGAACTATTATGCTCTTACTCTAAAGTAAAATTTAATATTCAGAAATAGAACACTTCAAGACCAATAGTTTAAAAAGCATTAAGCCAGAACATAGTTGTAAATCAAGCAGATTTGTGCTAGGTGTGACTAAACTATCATTACTACTGAGCATTGATTTCAGCACTCACGGTATCATGTAGATTTTCAACTGGGGGCATATTTGAGCAGAGGTTCAAGAACCCTTTTCCATTCTGGCCTTCATAAAGACATAGCTCAAAACAGAGTGCTCACAGACATGGTCTACACAGAGGGTTCTTGTGGACATGGGTTTAAATTCATTACACAGTGTTGCAGTGACTCCAGAGCCAGACAATGAATGCAATGAGCATAATGTATTAAGAAAAGGTAGCATATGAAAGATTATATACCAAAATTTAAACAGTGGTTATGTAGAAGTCATGAGGGGGTTAAAACGATAGCAGGAATATTTTCTATAAGGGGGAAAAATAAAAAAGCATCTAGTATTCTCTCTGGTGCAAAACTTGAGTACAACTGACATACAACATTAGTTTCAGGTGTATAACATAATGATTTGATGTTTATATTTTGCGTTCTTTTAAAAATTTGTTTAAAGATTTTATTTATTTATTTGAGAGAGAGAGCATGAGCAGGGGACAGGGAGAGGCAGAGGGAGAAGCAGACTCCTCACTGAGGAGGGAGTCTGGTGCAGGACTTGATCCCAGGATCATGACCTGAGCTGAAGGCAGAGGCTTAACCAACTGAGCCATCCAGGTGCCCAGAGATGTTTTTATTTTTTTTATTGAAATATAATTACATACAGTGTTATATTAGTTTCAGGTATGCAATATAATGACTCAACAATTCTATACATTTCTCAGTGCTTGAGATTAGTGTACTCTTTTAAAATTTATTATTTTTATTTGAGTATAGTTGACACACAGTCTCTCATTAGTTTGGGTGTACAACTTAGTGATTTGAGAGGTTCACACATTATGCTATGTCCACCACAAGCATGGCTACCATCTGTTCCTTTACATCACTGTTACAATAAGCACTGTATTACTTACGCTGTGCCTTTCCTTCTCATGTCTTACTCATTTCATAACTGGAAGCATTTCATATTCCCACTCCCCTTCATCCATTTTGCCCAACCCCTACCCCTCCTCCCCTCTGGAAATCATCAGTTTATTCTCTGAATTTATAGGTCTGATTCTGCTTTTTCTTTGTTTATTCATTTTGGTTTTTTAAAAATTATTATTTAGATTCTACTTGTGGGGATTCCCTTAAGCATCCTTAAAAATACTGAGCATCTTTTCATGTCTGTTGGCCATCTGTATATTTTCTTTGGAAAAATGTCTATTCAGGTCCTCTATTCACTTTTTAATTGGATTGTTTGGTTCTTTGGTGTTGAGTTGTATAAGTTTTTTATATTTTTTGGATATATACTCCTTATTGGATATATCATTTGCAAATATCATCCCCCATTCAGTAGGTTGCCATTTTGTTCCGTTGATGGTTTCTTTTGCTATTCAAATTTTTTTTAAAAAAACTGTTTTCCCAACAGTTTATTTTT